TGTTGCACTGAGCCAAAGCAATTTCCAAGTCTGTGACTTCCTGTTACTTACGTGGCAATAAAATGATTCTGATTCTGATTAAAATATTCATCTCCAATTTTAGACTATAATGTTGCAGACATCAAATGTATAAATAACATGTAAACATGTGTTTTATTTCTGTTTTTGTATTTTATAGGGAGTTGTTTGGCTCTTAAACACTGTGAAGATCATTTGAAGTATTACGTGTTACTGTTCACTGGACCACAATCTGTTTATGGAATGTTTTTAAAAATACCTCTTATTAGAATCCCCTGCGTCACTGGAAAGGGTTCAGAAAACCTGGTTGACTGAGACAAATTTAAAATGTATACATTTTGTTTATTGTTGAATATTCTGTCAGTCTCTCCTAGAGCACGTGTGGCTTCAGTAGTAACTTACCACCCCTGGAATGAATTAACAATACCAGTGTCCAAAAAAGCGCTGTATTAAACCCATGTTATTATCAATTATATTTCATTTTCTTGGGGCCATCAACAACTTTTTATGTGAGTTCTGTTTCCTTTTCTTCCTCTGAAGTCTCAGTCTTTCCTGTTTCCTTTGCCCTCTACATCTGTGAAGTGTATATTCAGCTATCATTCTGACAGGAGTGTGTGTGTTTGCGTGTCTGTGTATGTATTTGTGTGTGTGTGTGTGCGTGTATTTGCGCATGTGCGTGCATGTCCGTGTTTGTGTGTCTGCCTGTGAGTGCAAGTGGGTGTGCGTTTGCTTTGTGGACATTTGAGGACTTTTGTATGATAACAAACCTTCAATATAGGGACCTGAGGAAATACAGGGACTATTTTAGGTCCCCATTTTTCCATGCATACTATAGTGTTGTAAAGGCGCAAAACAGGCTCCACGCCAAAAATCAAGCATGTCCCAAAATGTCTACAAATTGTGAAAATATGTGTCGGGGCCGAAACACTCCGTCCCAAAAAGTTTGATACGCCCCCTATGGTCGTGCATGAAACTACCTTAACACACTTTTAACACACATACTCGACCTCATATGTCACCTATTTTGTCACAAACTTAAATACATTCCCAGACGTGGGTAGAATAGCCAAAATATTCACTCAAGCTAATTTAACAACATACTTAAGTAGTGAATGACTGTACAAAAAAAACTTTCAGCCAGAAGGGACCTTTCGGAGTCGAGTTTGCATGTTCTCCTTGTGTCAGTAGATTTCCTCTTGGCACTCCGGTTTCCGATAACACTAAAAAATATGTACCAAAGGTTCCCACAAAAAACCTTCAAAGATGATTCTTACGCTTCAGCTGGATCTGAGTAATCTTTATTAATATACAGCTTCAGTCCTGGGTCTACAGTCTCAGTCTCAGTCCTGGGACCATACATAAGCACTCCTGGGTCTCCTCAGCCCGAGTCCTGGGACTCCTCAGCCCGAGTCCTGGGACTCCTCAGCCCGAGTCTTGGGTCTCCTCAGCCCGAGTCCTGGGACTCCACAGCCCGAATCCTGGGTCGAAAGCCGCAGTCGTGGTTCTATAGCCGCAATCCAGGATCTACAGCCGCAGTCCTGTGTCTATAGCAGTCCTGGGTCTAAAGTCGCAGTCCTGGGTCTCCCCAGCCCAAGTCCTTGGTCTCCCCAGCCCGAGTCCTGGGTCTCCTCAGCCCGAGTCCCGGATCTCCTCAGCCCGAGTCCCGGATCTCCTCAACCGGAGTCCTGGGTCTCCTCGGCCCGAGTCTTGGGTCTCCTCAGCCCGAGTCCTGGGACTCCACAGCCCGAGTCCTGGGTCAAAAGCCGCAGCCCTGGGTTTATAGCCGCAGACTTGGGTTTATATTCTCAGTCCTGGGTCCATACAGCCGCAGTTCTGGGTCTCCTCAGCCCAAATCCTGGGTCTCCTCAGCCCGAGTCCTGGGACTCCTCAGCCCGAGTCCTGGGTCTCCTCAGCCCGAGTCCTGGGTCTCCTCACCCCAAGTCCTGGGTCTATAGCCGCAGTCCTGGGTCAATAGCCGCAATCCTGGGTCTATAGCCGCAGTCCTGGGTCTACAGCCTCAGTCCTTGATCTACAGCCTCAGTCCTGTGTCTACAGCCGCTGTCCTGGGTCTACAGCCGCAGTCCTGGGTCCATACAGCCGCAGTCCTGGGTCTCCTCAACCCGAATCCTGGGATTCCTCAGCCCGAGTCCTGGGACTCCTAAGCCCGAGTCCCGGGACTCCTCAGCCCGTGTCCTCGGTCTCCTCAGCACGAGTCCTGGATCTCCTCAGCCCGAGTCCTGGGTCTCCTCAGCCCGAGTCCTGGGTCTCCTCAGCCCGAGTCCTGGGTCTCCTTAGCCCGAGTCCTGGGACTCCTCAGCCCGAGTCTTGGGTCTCCTCAGCCCGAGTCCTGGGACTCCACAGCCCGAATCCTGGGTCGAAAGCCGCAGTCGTGGGTCTATAGCCGCAGTCCTGGATCTCCAGCCGCAATCCAGGATCTACAGCCGCAGTCCTGTGTCTATAGCAGTCCTGGGTCTAAAGTCGCAGTCCTGGGTCTCCCCAGCCCAAGTCCTGGGTCTCCCCAGCCCAAGTCCTGGGTCTCCCCAGCCCGAGTCCTGGGTCTCCTCAGCCCGAGTCCCGGATCTCCTCAGCCCGAGTCCCGGATCTCCTCAGCCCGAGTCCCGGATCTCCTCAACCGAAGTCCTGGGTCTCCTCGGCCCGAGTCTTGGGTCTCCTCAGCCCGAGTCCTGGGACTCCACAGCCCGAGTCCTGGGTCAAAAGCCGCAGCCCTGGGTTTATAGCCGCAGACTTGGGTTTATATTCTCAGTCCTGGGTCCATACAGCCGCAGTCCTGGGTCTCCTCAGCCCAAATCCTGGGTCTCCTCAGCCCGAGTCCTGGGACTCCTCAGCCCGAGTCGTTGGACTCCTCAGCCCGAGTCCTGGGTCTCCTCAGCCCGAGTCCTGGGTCTCCTTACCCCAAGTCCTGGGTCTATAGCCGCAGTCCTGGGTCAATAGCCACAATCCTGGGTCTATAGCCGCAGTCCTGGGTCTACAGCCTCAGTCCTTGATCTACAGCCTCAGTCCTGTGTCTACAGCCGCTGTCCTGGGTCTACAGCCGCAGTCCTGGGTCTACAGCCGCAGTCCTGGGTCCATACAGCCGCAGTCCTGGGACTCCTCAGCCCGAGTCCTGGGACTCCTAAGCACGAGTCCGCGGACTCCTCAGCCCGAGTCCCGGGACTCCTCAGCCCGTGTCCTCGGTCTCCTCAGCACGAGTCCTGGGTCTCCTCAGCCCGAGTCCTGGGTCTCCTCAGCCCGAGTCCTGGGTCTCCTTAGCCCGAGTCCTGGGACTCCTCAGCCCGAGTCCTGGGTTTCCTCAGCCCGAGTCTTGGGTCTCCTCTGCCCGAGTCCTGGGTCTCCTCAGCCCAAATCCTGGGTCTCCTCAGCCCAAGTTGTGGGACTCCTCAGCCCGAGTCCTGGGTCTTCCTCAGCCAGAGTCCTGGGTCTCCTCAGCCCAAATCCTGGTTCTCCTCAGCCCGAGTCGTGGGACTCCTCAGCCCGAGTCCTGGGAGCCCGAGTCCTGGGAGCCCGAGTCCTGGGTCTCCTCAGCCCGAGTCCTGGGACTCCTCAGCCCGAGTCCTGGGTCTCCTCAGCCCGAGTCCTGGGTCTCCTCAGCCCGAGTCCTGGGTCTCCTCAGCCCGAGTCCTGGGTCTCCTCAGCCCGAGTCCGGGGACTCCTCAGCCCGAGTCCTGGGTCTCCTCAGCCCGAGTCTTGGGATTCCTCAGCCCGAGTCCTGGGACTCCTCAGCCCGAGTCCTGGGACTCCTCAGCCCGAGTCCTGGGTCTACAGCCGCAGTCGTGCGTCTATAGCCGCAGTCCTGTGTCTAAAGCCACAGTCATGGGTCTCCTCCGCCCGATTCCTGGGACTCCTCGGCCCGAGTCCTGGGTCTAAAGCCGCAGTCCTGGGTCTATAGCCCAGTCCTGGGTCTATAGCCCAGTCCTGGGTCTTGAGCCGCAGTCCTGGGTCTAAAGCCGCAGTCCTGGGTCTCCTCAGCCTGAGTCCTTCGTCTCCTCAGCCCGAGTCCTGGGATTCCTCAGCCCGAGTCCTGGGACTCCTTAGCCCGAGTCCTGGGACTCCTTAGCCCGAGTCTTGGGTCTGTAGCTACAGTCCTGGGTCTATAGCCGGAGTCTGGGGTCTACAGCCTCAGTCCTGGGTCTCCTCAGCCCGAGTCCTGGGACTCCTCAGCCCGAGTCCTGGGACTCCTCAGCCCGAGTCCTGTGATTCCTCAGCCAGAGTCCTGTGTCTATAGCCGCAGTCCTGGGTCTCCTCAGCCTGAGTCATGGGTCTCCTGAGCCCGAATTCTGGATCTCCTCTCCCCGATTCCTGGTACTCCTCAGCCCGAGTCCTAGGTCTTATTCCGACCGAGTCCTGGGTCTCCTCAGCCCAAATCCGGGTCTCCTCAGCCCGAGTCGTGGAACTCCTCAGCCCGAGTCGTGGAACTCCTCAGCTCGAGTCCTGGGTCTCATCAGCCCGAGTCGTGGGTCTCCTCAGCCCGAGTCCTGGGTCTCCTCAGCCCGAGTCGTGGAACTCCTCAGCCCGAGTCGTGGAACTCCTCAGCTCGAGTCCTGGGTCTCCTCAGCCCGAGTCGTGGGTCTCCTCAGCTGTGGTGTACTTAAATAACGAGGCGATGCACACGTTTTACCACTTTATATAGCAGATCTCTGGGAGCAACACAACAACGTGACACGAGGCCATTACAGTCTGAACATTTGTATAACATGCGCAGCAGACACAATAGCTAACTACGGCAAGTCTTCAGGGTCAACCTTAATGCTTATTATAATGGTATTAATACACCACATTACCTCCCCCCTTAAATTAAAGGTAATCTTCACATAACGCATTAATATAGAACATTAACGTAAAATACACTTCTTACACAGAGTGCGTTCCCGCTCTGGTTAATTAAATGACCACTTCAAATAAGTATGTTAAATCTTACAAATAACTCAACCCTCTTTACTAACTGAACAAGTCCCAGTATATATTTAGTCTCTGTAGCGTGACGGCCGCCTAGCCGTACGCTCCGAGCGCCTTAAAGTCACTGTTTCTGGATCAGGCGGCTCAGGCTGGTCCAACGTAAACGGTTGTGGAGCAGGTGCTGTGGAGACTGGCCCAGCAAGGTTACTCTCCTGATCCGCTGACTGAGTTGCTCCTAGAGGCTCTGGGTCTGAAACCTCCTGAGGATACCGATGTCGCAACTGGTCTCCGTGACGTCTGTACACTTGGTCAGTTGTCTCTCCCTGCACCCGGTACGACACCGGACTGTGTAACTACTCCAGGGATCCATTTGGGTTTATCACCTGCAGTATTGCGTAGATACACAGGATCATCCACATCAAACTGTCTCTCGGTAGCCCGACTGTCGTGCTCCTCCTTCTTCTGATACTGCCTCCTCCGCACCCTCATGGCGATGTTTGGCCTTAGGAAATCCAACCGCAAACGCACATGTCTCTTTAGGTGCAAATCTGCGGGTGACTCTCCAGTCGCACTGTTGGGAGTTGTGCGATACCGCAGTAGGAAATGTGAGACCTTGTCCTCAACATTCAAGTCCTCTCCGTCCAGCTTCTTCATGCCTGCTTTGAATGTAGCAACATACCTCTCAGCGAGGCCATTGGTAGCTGGATGCCGCGGTGCACCAGTTGTGTGAAGGATACCGTTCCTTTTCATGAAGAGCTGAAACTCCTCTGACATGAAGGTCGTGGCGTTGTCTGTGACAATTTGCTCTGGTAATCCATATGACGCAAAAAGTCTCCGAAGCCTTGAAATGGTTGCGGAAGATGTTATATTTGCCATCTTGAAAACCTCCAGCCACTTAGAGTATGCGTCTACAACTATCATGAACATGTGACCTATAAACGGACCTGCAAAGTCAATGTGGAGCCTTTTCCAAACCTCTCCAGGAAACTCCCAGGGGTGTAGAGGGACTGGGCGTGGCATACGCTGCTCCAACTGGCACCTGTCACACTGCTTACAGGTCTTTTCAACGTCCATGTCTACATGTGGCCACCAGACATATTGCCTCGCAATGGTCTTCATCTTTACAATGCCATGATGTCCACTGTGGATCTCATTAAGCACTGCTGTTCTTAGCTTTTTAGGTACCACTACTCTTGTACCCCAAAGAACACAACCTTGCTCAACAGATAGTTCCTCTCGCAATGGTCTTCATCTTTACAATGCCAGGGTGTCCACTGTGGATCTCATTAAACACTGCTGTTCTTAGCTTTTTAGGTACCACTACTCTTGTACCCCAAAGAACACAACCTTGCTCAACAGATAGTTCCTCTCTCTTTTTGTAAAACACTTTCAGTTCTTCTGCTACTTCCCTTGGCCACCCTTCCATGATGTATCTGTGCAGCCTTGATAGCTCTGCATCCTTGCGTGTTGCCCTGGAAATCTGTTGTGCACTCAGTGGCACACCCTCCAGGTGTTCACAGATGAGTGCATGTAGGTATGCTGTCATTGTCTCTGTTCCTGCATCCGCAGTCTCCGGCAGTGGGACACGAGACAGACCATCTGCGTTGCCGTGTTTGTCTGACTGGCGGTAGATTATGTGGTAATCATAGGCAGACAGTATGATAGCCCACCGCTGTATGCGCGCTGCTGCCATTGTTGGAAGTCCTTTATGTTCTCCAAACAGCGTGAGCAGCGGTTTATGGTCGGTGATCAAATTGAACTTCCGCCCCCACAGATATTGATGGAATTTCTTTACTCCATACACCAGGCTCAACGCCTCCTTTTCTATCTGTGAGTAGTTCTTTTCCGCCGGTGAGAGTGTACGAGAAGCATAGGCTACTGGACGCTCTTGTCCGTCATGCGTTGTTTGCTGAATAACGGCTCCAATTCCGTACGCTGAAGCATCACATGCAAGAGAAAGCGGCAGGCTCGGATCATAGTGAACTAACACCTTGTCACCGGTCAACATTTCTTTGCACTTATCAAAAGCGCTCTGTTCCACTTTACTCCACCTCCATTTTGTTTGGTCTTTTAGCAGTTTGTAGAGTGGGGCCAAAACAGTACTTTGCTGCGGCAAAAAGCGACCGTAGTAGTTCACTAGCCCTAGGAAAGCCCTGAGCTCTTTGATGTTTGTGGGCGTTGGAGCATCATGCACGGCTCTGACCTTGTCTTTAGAAGGATAAACTCCTTTTTCATCCAACATGTGACCTAGGTACTCGATTTGTGTTTTCCCAAAGTCACACTTTGACTTTTTTACTCTCAGGCCGTTTTCTTGTAGCCGCTGTAGAACTCTGTCCAGGTTCAGCAGATGCTCAGCTTCGTCCCTGCCCATCACTAGCAGGTCATCCAAGTAAACCAGGACGTTGAGGTCTCTCATCACGTTCTCCATGATCCTTTGGAAAATACTGACAGCAGAATTAATGCCAAAGCAAAGCAGATTGTACACAAACAGTCCTTTATGCGTGTTCACAGTTGTATACTTTTTTGACTCGTCATCTAGAAGGACTTGTTGGTACGCGGCTGCCAGGTCGATTTTAGAGAATATCTTCCCCCCACATAATGCTGCCAGAACCTCTTCAATGCGTGGTAGTGGGTACGTTTCAGTGTTTGTAGCCAGGTTCACAGTTACCTTATAGTCGCCACACAAGCGGAGTCCACCGTCCTTCTTGGTTACAGGGACCACTGGAGCAGCCCACTCGCTGTGCTTCACAAGGCTGATGACGCCATCCTTTTCCAGGCGCTCCAGTTCTTTATCTACCTTTTCTTTCATTGCGAAGGGCAGGACACGGGCTTTGTGGAACTTTGGAACTGCGTCAGGTTTCACAAAAATTGCTGCTTTAATGCCCTTTAATGTTCCCAACTCATCTTTGAAAACATCAGCATATTTATCCAACACATCTTGGATTGACTTGGGCTTGGTTGTGCTTTCTGTGACTTTTTTAATCATTTTCCAGTTCAGTCTGATTTGATCCAGCCATTCTCGCCCACACAGTGAAGGACCTCCTCCGGCCACTACTATCAGTGGTAGATCAGCAGTCTGATTTCCATAAGTCACTTTTGCAATGAACTGTCCTTTCACTGGAATGGTCTCTCCTGAGTAGCCCTTCAGTGCGACGCTGCTGCCCTCTAGTGGCACATGTGAGAATGACTGATCATACACATTTTCTGAGATAATGCTGACTCCTGCTCCTGTGTCAATTTCCATCGGTACTTTTTTTCCATTTACTTCAAAAGTTGCCTTGTATGGCCGCCGGCCAGCACCACTTGCACTGAACACAGAAAACATCAGAATTTCATCTTCTATTTCGTCAGCTTGTACGTAGCCTGTAATTTTTCCTTCTTTTCGTTCAAAATTTCTCTTCCCCTTTTTCTCTTGCCTCTCACGTGTCCGCCCTCCAGTCCTGCATGCCTTCTGAATATGCCCAACTTTGCCACATTTATGACACTTTGCGTTCTTGTAGTAGCAATCACTGGCGAAATGATCCATTCCTTTACATCTATAGCACCCGTCTTGTTTTGAAAGTGTGCGCCGGTCCCCCTTTACCTTGTGAACAGCGGTGACGTCATCACCTGTCCGCAACTGCTGGGCATCTCGGTGGGCTGTCTCCATGTTAACCGCAAGCTCCACAGCTCTCGCAAAAGTCAGCCTATCCTCTGAGAGCAATTTGCGCTGGCATGCTTCAGAACTGACCCCGCTGACAAATCCGTCATCATCCAGCCTGTCCCCGAAATCACACTTCGCAGCGAGTTGGCGCAGCTCAGCAGCATATTCCGTCGCTGTCTGGCCGCTCTTCTGGACACATTTACGGTACCTAAATCGCTCGGCGATGACCAAAGGTTTTGGTTCATAGTAGTCTCGTAGAATGGTCACAACCTGATCAAAAGTTTTGTCCTTTGGCTTGTCAGGCTGAACCAGGTTGCGTAGAAGACCATACGTCGCTGCGCCGACTGAGCTCAACAAGACGGGAACTTTCTTTCCATCGTCCACATCATGAGCCTCAAACAGCAGCTCCATGCGCTCCACGTAGGCAGACCATGTTTCATGCTCCGGCTTGAACTCGTCCGGTCTTTGGGAAAAGCACGCCATAACCGATTTTCCTCGTCGCCAATTATGTGGTGTACTTAAATAACGAGGCGATGCACACGTTTTACCACTTTATATAGCAGATCTCTGGGAGCAACACAACAACGTGACACGAGGCCATTACAGTCTGAACATTTGTATAACATGCGCAGCAGACACAATAGCTAACTACGGCAAGTCTTCAGGGTCAACCTTAATGCTTATTATAATGGTATTAATACACCACATCAGCCCAAATCCTGGGTCTCCTTAGCCCGAGTCCTGGGACTCCTCGGTCCGAGTCCTGGGTCTATAGCCTCATTCCTGGGTCTTTATTCTCAGTCCTGGGTCTTTACAGCCGCAGTCCTGGGTCTCCTCAGCCCAAGTCTTGGGTCTCCTGAGCCCGAGTCCTGGGTGTCCTCAGCCCGAGTCCTGGATCTTCTCAACCCGAGTCCTGGGACTCCTCAGCCCGAGTCCTGGTTCTCTTCAGCCCAAGTCCTGGATCTCCTCACCCCGATTCCTAGGACTCCTCAGCCCGAGTCTTGGGTCTGTAGCTACAGTCCTGGGTCTGTAGCCGTAGTCCTGGGTCTACAGCCTCAGTCCTGGGTCTACTGCCGCAGTCCTGGGTCTCCTCAGCCCGAATCCTGGGATTCCTCAGCCCGAGCCTGGATCTCCTCAGCCCGAGTCCTGGGACTCCTCAGCCCGAGTCCTGGGACTCCTCAGCCCGAATCCTGGGTCTACAGCCTCAGTCCTGGGTCTGTAGCCACAGTCCTGGGTGTACAGCCGCTGTCCTAGGTCTACAGCCGCAGTCCTGGGTCTAAAGCCGCAGTCCTGGGTCTCCTCAGCCCGAGTCTTGGGATTCCTCAGCCCGAGTCCTGGGACTCCTCAGCCCGAGTCCTGGGACTCCTCAGCCCGAGTCCTGGGTCTACAGCCGCAGTCGTGCGTCTATAGCCGCAGTCGTGGGTCTATAGCCGCATTCCTGGATCTATAGCCGCAGTCCTGTGTCTAAAGCCACAGTCATGGGTCTCCTCCGCCCGAGTCCTGGGACTCCTCGGCCCGAGTCTTGGGTCTATAGCCGCAGTCCTGGGTCTATAGCCCAGTCCTGGGTCTATAGCCGCGGTCCGGGGTCTACAGTCTCAGTCCTGGGTCTAGAGCCGCAGTCCTGGGTCTAAAGCCGCAGTCCTGGGTCTCCTCAGCCCGAGTCCTTCGTCTCCTCAGCCCGAGTCCTGGGACTCCTCAGCCCGAGTCCTGGGTCTCCTCAGCTCGAATCCTGGGATTCCTCAGCCCGAGTCCTGGGACTCCTTAGCCGGAGTCCTGGGTCTACAGCCTCAGTCCTGGGTCTCCTCAGCCCGATTCCTAGGACTCCTCAGCCCGAGTCTTGGGTCTGTAGCTACAGTCCTGGGTCTACTGCCGCAGTCCTGGGTCTCCTCAGCCCGAGTCCTGGATCTCCTCAGCCCGAGTCCTGGGACTCCTCAGCCCGAGTCCTGGGACTCCAGACTCCTAGTCTTGGGTCTATAGCTACAGTCCTGGGTCTGTAGCCGTAGTCCTGGGTCTACAGCCTCAGTCCCGGGTCTGCAGCCTTAATTTAGAAGCAGTATCACTTCTTGAGTTGAAAATGAGTTCAGAAGCAGAGCTAACCTCTCCTCTGTTTGTGTGTTTGAAATGAGTTTAGAAGTGTAGCGAACATGCAATCCGGCTGCGTCTCAGATGGCCTACTTGTTTGTTTAAATAAAGTAAAAATATTATGATCTTTACATTTTCAAAAAATGTATGTGCGCGCCTGCGTCTGTGAGTGCTTTCCTGGGATGTCCTCAGCATATTGTTTACACTTCTGCTGTTGAGAACTCTTTAGGCTGTGATGATTACTATAAAACAATACAATGTTTATGTTGGAAGAACTGGCTCAATACCAGGCTAAATATAAGGTCAAAGACGACCTGGATCCAAGTAGAAAGCCCTCATATCACTGTTGTTCTTGAAGGCCTGGCTAAGTTCTTTTATGACCTCCTAATTTCCACCGTGTGTTCTTTAACATTTCATACAACTTCTGAACAACATATTTACTGATTGGCTGTAGACCTCCTGGTGGAAAGGGTGCTTTTTGCCAATTAACAAAACATTTAAGTCTCCATTCATCGATCATATTTAATCACATTTACATTGCTATGACCTTGAACAAAAAATAGGATGAGGCAAAAAAAATAATTAATAATTTCACCACAAATGTCTAACAAATACAACTAGTCTTAAACCAGAAAATTGGGAACTCCCACATGATGATTGTCTGATTTAACTTATGACAGAAGACCATAATCACACACATGAAAAGACTATTTTGCATTCCAAAAGCAGCATGGGACTGTGGAACTCTTTCATCCAGATTTTTTTTCTTTAAATCTTTGCTGAATTCGTCTTTGAAATGATTGTGCGCTCGGTGACAATAGTAGTGTGTGTGTGACAGAGAGACAAACAGGCGACAGTAATAGTGGCATTTCTGTATTGTCAAAATGGGTCTGTTCTGAGTCTGGGCCCCATCCTCCGGGCACACAATGGAGCTCTTCAGAACAGCAATCAGACACCATCGTTTGTCTCCTGTGTCTCGCTCTGCAGTCAAATACAACGATTCTTGCGTGTACTGTATTCTGTTGAAGGCCCTGATGGACGGACGCGGAAAATCTCAATAATACAGTATTAGGAAAGCTTCTGTTATAGAAATGTTATAGTAAAGAAATTTGAATTAACATGAAGTAGGCTTAAGACTAAGTTACAGCATGAGCTAATCCGTACGGAAGCATGATAGGGTCATTTGTGTGTTTATTTTATTTTTCCTCTGGTATCACGTTTTTTCATGATAATTTCATGTTTAGGTAGATAGATACTTTATTGATCCCCGTAGGAGAAATGCAGGTGTCCAGTAGCAGCAAAAATAAATGCATCATTCTAAAAAGCTAATAATAGGTTTAATCAGCCACAGGCCTTCAGGTCACAGCAGCAAAGATGGAGTGGTCTCTGGGTGGAGCAGGACGGGTCACTGTAGCAGATGTGGAGTGGCCACTGGGTGGGGTAGGACAGGTCACAGCAGCAGAGATGGAGTAGCCGCTGGATGGAGCAGTACGGGTCACAAGCAGCTACTCCACCTCGTGACCTGTCCTGCTCGACCCAAGCGTATTCAAAAACCAAAACAATTCCAAAACCAAAAAAAAACAAATCTTGTACTAACAAATATGTTACTCACTTTATTTCATGATATAAATCTATCATGTTATTTCATGATACCAATTTATTATGAAATAACAAGAACTGTACATACAGAAGAAGAAGAAGCTGTATACGTCAGACCATGCGGCAGGTTCAGCGGTGCGCCAGGAATGCGGAATGGCTCATGAAAAGTATCCACATTGCAACTTTCTGCAACAGCGAGGGGTGTCAGAGGCATCTCTGTTGTTGATGCAGGAAGATTGAGTAAGTAATCAATGTAAATTTATGAACTGCTATCACCATAACTACATATTTAGCACCGTGAGGCTTAGCATGTTAGCTTGTTCGGCCGGCAAGTTAGCTTGTCAGCCTAGCTAGGTATTTCTCATGATGGTCAAGTTAAAGGCTGAACTGTCTTTGATGGCATTTGTTATTTCATAATAAATTGATACATCATGAAATAACGTGATAGTTTTATATCATGAAATAATGTGATCCGTATCTTGTACAAACATGAAATTATCTGGAAATTACATTAAAATATCATGAAATAACGTGATACCAGCAAACCCAGAATGGGATGTTGTTTACCTCGTCAAGGTGCTTATCCTTTGTGGTGCCATCTGTGTGTAAAAAGTAGTGATGGGTTGATGAAGCTTCATGAAGTGTTGAACCTTTTCATCCATTGGTTCAAGAAAAGGTTCATTTCTTGATGCTTCATATGCTCACAAACCTCCTGTTGGTCAACATTTGTATTGACAATTGAACTGTTTGTGAGGCTCTTGGTGCATAGGAATTAATACTGGTGACAGAAATAAAAATGTAATTTGATTGTGTATAACGCATTAATTCATCTGTTTCATTATGATCAATATCAGTAGTGAAAATGAATATATTTGAAATGACAATAAAATTTTAATGTACTGGTAACTGGTACAGTTGTCTGCTCTAATACACACACACACACACACACACATATATGTAGATATATATTTATATACATATTTAATGATGAATGATTATAGCTTGTCAAGTCAAAATCAATGTTATAAATCCAATAGGACAAAAAACATGTTGAAAGTGTAAGTGCTTTTCAAAGGACGTGACACAAATGGGGATATCAATTGGAATTGTGACCCAATCAGTTGTTTAAAACTAAAACATTTCTGACAAAATTCTTTCGCGTGTATTCACGTCAACGTGCTCCCTGTGAAATTCGAACCCCAGTCTCCCAGGTCCCAGTCCTGCTTCCCTAGCAATTGAGCCAACCAGCTGATGTACAGTGCTCTCCATCACTGACTAAATTAATCACCAAGACAAACACACAGTTTGAGCGGATCCTCTGCAGTACTTCATGAATCGCCCCATTTCCTGTGCTCCCGAGGCTTCAAACGTCATTGGTGACGTCACTCATCTAAAACAACTCAGGCTTCGGCCCGCGCTCCGATAAAAACTTCAGGGATTTCTCGGCTCACGCCCCGAAGCGCAGACGCGGCACGACCCATCACTAGTAAAAAGACCTCAAAAGACCCCAGGGTGGGGCCTTGTCAATACTGTACTTAGGCAAAACACTTCACCCACATTTCCTTTACATGTATGAGTTTGGCGCGTTCATGAATTATTGTGGTGGTCGGCTGTTAGAGAGCTTGATCACACAATCATTTGGCACATGTATTGAAACTGTTTTTGTTGATCAATTTCACAGAGACAATTGTTTCCTGCACTCTTATTTGTTTTGCTTTTAACTTTGTTTTTTATTTGTGTTCTGTCCTGTGCACACTGGGGACTTTTTGCAAATGTATTCCAATGTGGTTTTACTCCAAATA